AGACATCACAAAATGTTCTGTAGGAAACAATTACTCTGAAAACTTAAAATATGAAAACTAATGAATACAGCATTTCATATTTAAACATCATACTTATAAACAGTAGAAACAAAAAGTAAGTTGAATTTTTTTAAGAGTACTTTGAAACATTCTCAACAGAAAATAACAGAAATTACAAAATGGCAACATATGTTCACATTGTCCATTTGAAGGAGCAGTGTGCAGGATTTAGTACGTCTAACAATGGGGATGTAGGTTCCAACCAATGGATAACTTGTTCACTCACCCTCCTATCCCAAGTTTGTAGAATGTATATTGGCTGCAAAAAACTTGAGGCCCAATCATGTTTCCTCTGTCCATTCTGCGCTACTGTAGACGTGGCAGTGCAACCTAGAGGACAAAAGGATCAGAATCAGAAACAGGTTTATTGCCAGGTAGGTTCACACGTATGAGGAATTTGACTAGGTGTCGTGGTGCATACATACAAATAAAAAATAAAAATAAAAGTATACAGATAGCGAACTATATTAAGAACACTGTAATCAAAATATAGTAAGATAGCAATAAAATAAAGCAGTAATTTACATCGAAATAGAATGCAATAAATTATAGAATATAAAATATGTGCAGTAAGCAATATTTAAACATTGCATTATTTACCATCCTGTGATCTCCATCATGTAATGCATAGAGTCTGCGTTGTGGCTGAGGTAAAGTGTCAGTGGGGGGGGCAGGCCTTGTTGAGGTGGCGAGAGGTTTTGGTCCTGATGGAGAGAGGTTCTGGTCCTGATGGAGAGAGGTTCTGGTCCTGATGGAGAGGTTCTGGTCCTGATGGAGAGAGGTTCTGGTCCTGATGGAGAGAGGTTCTGGTCCTGATGGAGAGAGGTTCTGGTCCTGATGGAGAGAGGTTTTGGTCCTGATGGAGAGAGGTTCTGGTCCTGATGGAGCGCAGCCTCCCGCCAGAGGGGAGGGGGGTGAACAGTTTGTGTCCAGGGTGGGAGGGTTCGGCCACTATCTTCCCGCCTGCAGGTTAGGGAGGGATGGCAGATTGCAGCCGATCACCTTCTCTGCAGAGCGGATGACACGCTGCAGCCTGCCCTTATCCTTGGCTGTGGCTGCAGCGTACCAGATGGTGATGGAGGAGGTGAGGATGGACTCCATGATGGAGGTGTAGAAGTTCACCATCATCGTCTTTGGCAGGTTGAATTTCTTCAGCTGCCTCAGGAAGAACATCCTCTGCTGGGCTTTTTTGATGAGGGAGCTGATGTTCTGCTCCCATTTGAGGTCCTGGGCGATGATGGTGCCCAGGAAGCGGAAAGACTCCACAGCAGTGACTGGGGAGTCACACAGAGTGATGGGGGCGGGTGGGGCTAAAGTCCACAACCATCTCCACTGTCTTGAGAGCGTTGAGCTCCAGGTGGTTTTCCCCACACCAGGTCACCAGATGGTCCATCTCCCACCTATAGGCAGACTCTTCCCCACCAGAGATGAGTCCGATGAGGGTGGTGTCGTCTGAACTTCAGGAGCTTGACAGACTGGTGACTGGAGGTGCAGCTCTTGGTTGGGGAAAGAACGCAGCCTTGAGGGGAACCGGTGCTGATGGTCCGGGGGTCAGAGACGTGTTTCCCCAGCCTCACGTGCTGCTTCCTGAAGCTGGAGAGCTTGTCCTGCAGCAGAGCCGGGATGATGGTGTTGAAGGCGGAGCTGAAGTCCACAAACAGGATCATGGCGTAGTAGTTTCCTGCTGTGTCCAGGTGCTGGAGGAGGAAGTGAAGTGATAACTATTAGTAAACCATATTAATGGATGTTATTATTATTATCACACACACACACACACACACACACACACACACACACACACACACACACACACACACACACACACACACACACACACACACACACACACACAAAATTGAGAGCATCCCAAGGGCATTGATTATTTCATAAGTTTAGAAGGGGGGAACATAGTCTAACAACAGTTAGCTTTTGTTAATTTTACCTCGAGCTTAACTTGTGATACTTGTTTCTGAAATCCCTTTCTCTTAAAGTGAATAAAAAACAAAAAAAACAATGGAGCTTACCCTAAAACTAACCACTGGATTGCTTGTCTAACATGACCTAGTCCATGTTAGCGAAGTACAACTGGGATTTCGAGGGGGAAGATATGCTTGGTTGATTCTAATTTTTACTTTCTTACTTTTTGAATACAAATCATGTTTGTATCACTACACTTCTAAGGGACAACATGGGTCAAACATTGCCCGTATTCTTTTGCTATGTTATTTCATGCATGGCTGAGTGTTTATTTACTATACATTTTCAAAAATAATTAATTTTAGCAGTGATTTGGACCAAGCATGTATGATGTAGTAATACAACAAGTATTTTAGTTCACACAGTGTGACATTAGCTAGTCATGTTAGCTTGTAATATATACAGTAGAGCAGAGCTAACTAGCAAGTTAGCCGAACGTTAGCGGTTAGCTGTTTATGCTATGCTAGTTGTTGGCTACTGAATATTAACAAACTGGATTCCGCTGTAAGAAAGCTGTGAAACCTTACATTAAACTTGGCGACAACACTGTGACACCCCGCTGCATGTTTATGTGTAATTCTCCCGTGTTGGAGACGAGAGGTGGAGCGGCAGCACTGCAATAAGCTGTAAGCTAACGTTAGCAGCCACCTTGTTAAACCAGGTTTGGGCGCAACATCTTGCAAGAAACAGCATCTCAGGGCTTCTTAACATTTAACAACCTATTAATGATGCAAACTCAGCTAACTAGAAGAAGAAACGTAACCTTAAATAAAAAATAAAACATTCACAAACTAAGGATTATCTAAATACATGTTTAACTCCATTACAGTTGCAGGACTCACCAGATCTCAAGTCTTCTGTTCTTTGTTGACGTCCCGATGCTCATATTTAACGTGTAGATGTAAAACGATCCCGATATTAATCCATTAATCCATAAACTCCTGCAGCTCCGAGCCGGAGCTGGAAAAGCGCCGGTGTGAAAGGGGCAGACAGCTGTAGCTCGCTCCGCAGGAGGAGACCCGCTCTAACTGACATGAATGTTTCAAATGTGAACAACAGGCGCGGACAGTTCTCATTGGCAGGTTTCTTCGATGACGTTTATATTAACCAATCAGGAGTGTTGTGGACTCATTCCAAACATGCCTGACTTGTCTGCCGTGTTATGGCTGAATTCCATTTCAAGTGCCGTAAGTCTGGCTGTCGGCCAGAATCCGAAAACCATGCACATTATACTGCATGTAAGACTAAGGCTTATTACTGTATATTGACCAATGGGAAAAAAAAAACAGCAACAGAACACATAAATAAAACAAGGATAACTGTGACTTATTGTTGAGTAAATAACAGTGTGTGTTTTAAACCTGGGTCCTCCCTGCAGAGATTTCTCCACTTTCTAAGATTTTTATTTTTTTTTATGATATTGTCAACTGTAGATGTTTACAATATAGTATGTTAGGAATTTAATGAAAACATATTTATTTACTTTTGTTTCAACATTGGATATTTTGTGTTTGTGGTGGATTCAATCGAATATTGAGAAAATGATTTATGTAAAAATGTTTTACTTTACATTTTTTTTGTTTGACGCTTTTTTTTACAGTTTTATGTTTACCTTAAAATTACAAAGAAATATCTTAAAGTCTTATAATAGTAATACACTTTTATATTACGAGTTACATATTTAATTACAGATAATACTTTTTATTTTACGTACATCTGCATGTATTTTCTGAAAGTGCAAAAATACTGTAAATATTATATAGTAAATTTACTGTAAAAAAAAATGAAATAATCGTTATTTGTTGTTATTGTCAAAATACTTCAAATAATGTTTTGGGTTGTTAATTTATAGTTAATATCTGTCATTTTACAGGATTTTGCAAGTTATTTAAAAAAACATGATAATTACTATAAAAATGTACAGTTATTTCCTGTAAAATTACGATCTTTTTTTACAGTGCAGTGTGTGTGTGTGTGTGTGTGTGTGTGTGTGTGTGTGTGTGTGTGTGTGTTGTGTGTGTGTGTGTGTGTGTGTGTTGTGTGTGTGTGTGTGTCTGTGTGTGTGTGTGTGTGTGTGTGTGTGAGATTGTGAGAGTGAGTGAGCGAGCAGTGGGGGGAAGCAGCAGTGGCAGCGCTGCATCATCACTACTGCTACTACAGCAGAGAGGAGAGGCAGTTTACTGCCTGCCTCCCTGATCTATCTCTCTCTCTTATACACACACACATACACTAGAAGCCAGCCAGCTGCCTCTGAGCCTCACAACCAGCCTCACAGAGGAGAGATCCCGGTGACATTATCCATCACTTCTGGATGTTCGCCTGCCTGCACTCTTCCTGCTGGCAGCGCTCTGAGTGTGTGTTCGTTGCCTGTTAGCGGTCCGCAGAAAAGGCTGCCACTTCCAGGTCTGACACTGCTTCTTTGGACTCTCTTGCTTTTGTTTGATGAGACAGTCGTCACTGTCAACGTGAAGGAGTCACAGCTGCCTGGAATATCGGCATTATTTTTTCCCTCCCTTTTTCCTTTGCAAAGAGAGGAAGTGGATCCCTGGATTTTTCCGGTGGCAGTGTGCCAGTGCAGAATGCTTACCTCAGGATTTGCAGTCTAGGGGTGGTGGGATGGGGGGGGGGCTATGATAAACAGCTGCGAGGCGAGGATGGTTAGCACTGCAGCATCAGACTGTTGTTCTACGTTGGGGTCTTTGTTTGCTTCTCGAGGTTACACACATATATCACAACCTAAAGCAGAAGCAGTGGAGCCTGGTTGCATTTTTCATACACAATGGATTACTGTTACTTTAAGGACGGGCTCCCTGCCCACTAAGGGAAGAAAGATGCTGATTTAGGGATAACAGGAGCACCGGATGAACAACTTCAGGATTGGAAAAGAGACTTTATGGACAGGTCAATGGCTACGTTGAGCTGAAACCGCCCCCGTTCTACTCCCTGCCCGCTCCAGTCCAAACATGAACTCTTCTTCTGATGCGAACCAAAGTGGTTCTCCCCCGTTCTGCCTGCTGGGCTCCGTGGGTTACTCCCGCAGCCTGGATACCTGCGTGCTGGAGGTGGTCATCATCCTTTTCCTAACTGTGCTCATCATTGCTGGCAACCTGGTGGTGATCTTCGTCTTCCACTGCGCCCCATTGCTGCACCACCACACCACCAGCCACTTCATCCAGACCATGGCGTACGCCGACCTGCTGGTGGGGGTCAGCTGCCTGGTGCCCTCGCTGTCCCTCCTCCACTACCTTCGAGGCCTGAATGAGGAGCTCACCTGCAAGGCCTTTGGCTACATGGTTTCTGTGCTGAAGAGCGTCTCCATGGCCTCGCTTGCGTGCATCAGCGTGGACCGCTACATCGCCATCACCCGTCCACTGTCCTACGCAACGCTGGTGACGCCATGCCGACTGAGAGTGTGCATCGTCCTGATCTGGGTTTACTCTGCTTTGATCTTCTTGCCATCCTTCTTTGGCTGGGGGAAGCCAGGATACCATGGGGACATATTTCAGTGGTGCGCAGACTCTTGGAAGACCAACCCAGGGTTCAGCACCTTCATCGCGGCGCTGCTCTACGCACCAGCAGCGCTCACCGTCTGCTTCACCTACGGGAGTATATTCCGGATCTGCAGGCAGCACACAAGAGAGATCACTCAACGGCATGCCCGCTTCAGCTCGCAGGCGGAGGGCGATAAAGGCGAGCGGGGGGAGCGGTGTGAAGGGTGCCCGGACAAACGCTACGCCATGGTGCTGTTCCGCATCACCAGCGTCTTCTACGTGCTGTGGATGCCGTACATCCTTTACTTCCTCTTGGAGAGTGCTGGACTGTATCACCATAAGGTGGCATCCTTCCTTACAACATGGTTGGCAATAAGCAACAGCTTCTGTAACTGTCTCATCTACAGCCTCTCAAACAGCGTCTTCCGGAAAGGTCTGGGCCGCCTCTTTAGCCCGTTGTTCCCCTCCTGTCTCGGCTGCATGGAGGCCAAAAAGGCGCCAGTTCCTATTGGCCCCCGGGCAAACACCCGATGCCAAGTGTGAGCCCTGACACCTCTGGTTTTGGATTGTTCACTTTAGGGGCATCCACCCTCTGTGTGTGCTTTGTTCAGCTGCGTAGCATGACACAGGTGGACCCGCAGTGAAATGTGCTGAGGACCCCCTGCATGGAGCACGGAGAGGTGCCTGTGCAGATGCCTGTTGGTTGTCTCCAAGGCTGATTTTGTGGAGGCTGTGAAGCTTTCACGAATGCTCTTCACTGTGATGCCGCTCTTTCACGGCTGCAAAGATCAGAACCTGACAACACGGAGTAAAGAAGTTTGATGTCGATGGAGGAAGGGGACAGTAGGAATAAGATTCATGTGTTTCACTTCAGATGATTTAATAAGCACTCCTGCCTGCACTAACAACTCCCAGATGCAAAAAAAGGAAAGCACAGCCCGACTTGTGTTGTGTGATCCGCTGAAATGCAAAACAATCTCTCCGAACCTGACTAGAAAATACAATTGTCTTGGTTCTTTCAGGGTGGATTAGGCAATGCAAAAAATGTTTAGGACACTGATCTGTTTTCCTTAGGGTACACCAGATGCTAATGAGTTAATGAGTGTATGAAACATCTTTCATCTGATAATCAGTGTGTGTGTGAATCGGATGGACTTCAAGAGTATTTCTCAATGAGAAGACAGAAGATTTATTTCAAATGTTAATCAAAAGGTGTTCTCTCTTTGAAGCTGGTTGTTTGTGAGAAGCTTCAAGTATGTTCACACAGTCTCGGGTTTCACATGAAATTGTTGATTCAAGAATTAGCTTTGCTTTCTTATGGTGGCTGCTGGTTTTCCTGCTGGCAGACAGTGGCGTGTCCTCTTCAGCATGACAATACATTAATTTATTAGGAGAGTTTTATTCTCTGTTTGCGTTTCCTCCTCAGGTTTATCGGCCCTACTTTGTTAAGCCTCCGGTCTGTTTGCCTTGGATCTCAGCTGAAACAGAACATGACTCTTAAATCACAAGCCACGTAGAGTCTTAAGATAATCTCCTCCTGCCTCGTCGACTGTTGATGATCAATCAGCTATCTGCGGGGATCCACATGGCCTCCATGCAAAGACTGACTCCATTGTTATCTGTAAACTTTATTATCTGCCCTCCAGCAGTGGATGGCTGTTCAGATGAGTGTAAAGTGAAACACAAGTTTAATCACAAGCTCGACCACGGAGGGCAAGAGGTTCAGAGCACTTTTTCTAAGAGCCAGTGACCGCTTGTGGCTTGGTGTAAAATATACTTCGTAGTTTCAATATTTAAACAGTGGTTAACTGTAAAGAGGACCTCCAGGGTTACAAATGTGGATGTTTTTTAAGATAATTTATTTCTCGCAGCCAAGATGTCCGACATTCTACCCCAGAGACCGAACCTTTTTTTTTTTTACAATGTTAAGAAGTGTTTTTTACATACTGCAGGAAAATGTTTTATAGATTTAAAGTCACATTGAAATGTTTTTTCTGATAGCGTCTTGCTCTTGATTAAAACATAGTTGTGGAAAAAGAAGAGTAAAGAGAATCTTTTGGAGAATTGTTCAGGAAAACACTATATGGCTAAATGCACGGCCCGAACCACATAGTGTATTTATCTGTGGATGTTTTTAAGGTTTGGGCTCCTAATATCCATTAGCAAAACACTTTTTCTAAAGGCATCTTACAACAGTTAATCAGAATCTTGCTTTTTTTTCTACTATCATTACAAATAATATGCCATAGAAATGTACATTTTCCCTTAAAACAGCCTGAAAAATGATTGGTAAATTGTAAAACTGAACCGAAAACCAAACCACAGTTTACAACACTGCTGTTGTAATGTACTGTGTACTTTATTTATTGGTTTATTTAACAGGCAAGGTTCACATTGCTTAACCAGACATTTCCGAGAGACTGATAACAGTTTGTATGTTGAAGTCTGTCACAGTTTCCCAGTCAGCTTGATCCTGTTAAATAGAGCTGCAACTAACCATTCTTTTCCTTATGGATTCATCTGCTGATTATTTTCTTTAATAATAAATGTATCAAATGTAGGAAAAAGTGAAAAATGTCAATCACGGGTTGTCAAAGTTCAAGATGATTTTTGTTTATGTATTTTCTTGCTGGTCTGAAACCCAAAGTAATCCCTTTAAATTGAAAATAGCATTTTCTGCCTTAAGGGCACCCAAACAAATAAAGATTCAAGATTCAAGATACAAAGTTTACCTTAATGTGTATTCAGTTTAACAGAGTATTTTGATCTAGACATTTGGGATAATTCATGTGGCGTTACAAATGTGTATTATAACAAGGGTCATCACTTTGAAAAAATTGAACGTAAATTTTTGACCTTAGAAGCAAGTTCTTGTTAGAAGTTGATGTGAATCACCTGATCCTCAGCAGGTGAATGTTGTCCAGTTATAATTGACTTGTTTTATATCATTGTGACCTTACAAGCAGCTTCTGTAGTGAGGATTTATAAATAAAGCAGGGCTTTAGGGCAGGGGTCAGAGTAGGGTCACAGTTCAGAGTTTAACGGTAGGACTTTTCCGGTGCAACGGTCACACAAGCTGCTGCCAGGGGGATCAAACCTCCCAATGACCCCACTGTGCTGATGTTCTATTTATAAAGCATTTTTCTATGTAATGGTATGTATTCAGCATCTGCTATGACAATGTAATTTCCTCTGACTTGTTTGATCCCTGCTTGATTGGTTGTGAAAAATGCTCCACTGATGGACCTTTCCTGCATGATTCTGGTTCTGACAGTAACTTTACTCCATGTCTTCGGTTCCTAACTACTGTTGTGTACCACAGATGGCTTATCATGTTTTCTTATCCTGTTCATGTCAGAAAACCCTCTAGCCTTCCTGTGATCTTCACCTGTCGCTGCCGTGAGGACAAAATTACACAAATATGCAAACAGTGAAAACACAAAAACCAAGAGCCTAACCTTAAAAGGTCTCGTTTAACCTAAAATTGTCAAAGTAAACACCTGAAATCTTTGCATTATCTTTATGACAGCAGTGGGAGTCAATGCAAACAGCTTACTGGTGTTAACACAAACCACAATAAATTAATAATAGTAGAAAGCAATGTCTTAATGAAAGGGCTTTTATTATCTCAACACTAGTTAGGCTGTTTGCTACTCAGCGTGTGATCTGAGCAACTGCTGTAAATTATTGTAAATATGAAGGTGTAAATGTCAGATTAAAATGATATGTTCTGATTCTGTGTTTTGGATTCATTTGGGACTCACAGTAATATGTTTGCAATTGGGATGGCTGTACATGTGTGTTTGTATTTCCCCTCATTTTACAATAAACAAATCCTGTTGGATTAGGAGAAGATTTAGGTTTACGGTTGTAGTCCGAGTATTGATTATTCACATTCTTGAAGGGTTTGGTTTCATGCAGGTAAACAGTCCCTTTGGAGAGCAAATGTATGGTGGCCGACAGGGGCAAATCAAAGTCAAAGTCAGTCTACTTTATTGACAATCTCAAAATATGTTTGTACACACAGAAATATCGAAATACTGTTTCCCACAGTCCCGAGGTCTAAAATAACACATTATAAAACAAGAACACTCAATAATGAATGCGTTACAACAACAACAACTGTCCATGCAGTGCTTTGAGTAAACCCTGCGTGTGTTTCATCTAGTTGGTGAATGTTTTCTGAGTTGTCAAGTTTGTGAAGATGTTTCTTCATTTGCATGTGTTTTGGCATATTAGTTTTTTTTTATTTGCATCGTTTTCGATAGTGCAAAGCATTTCTCCTAATGGAAGTGTTTTGGGCCGCTGTAGCTTGTTTGCATGTGACAGCCACCGTACAAAAGAGGCAGAAAACATTATCAGAAAGCGATATCTGAATCCATTGGCTATCGTTTGAAAACCAATAATTTGTAATTATCTGTAAATTAGCTTGTAAACTGGGACTAAATCTGTTACACCAAAACCACTCAAATATTCCCCTGGCCCAAATAATTATCAGACATATTCATATATAATTCACATATCATTGAAAGAACACTAAATAATTCCTTCTCAGGACTCATAGACTACAGAGCAGAGTTGGCAAAAACCAACAATATAAACAAATGTAGCTTAGTGTCAGAAAAATAAAAGAAGTGCATTGTAAATTATACATTTCATGTTTAATTATTTTAGTTTGGGCTCTTGCATGTCAATTTTTGGATTACAAGTAAGGTCTTTCTTTTTGATAAGTAAAACGTGTGATAAAACAAAATAAAACGTAACAAATACTTAATGACATTAGTCCAGGCTAAAGCAGTCTGCAAACAGTTCCGGAAAATATGTTCTCAATTTATTGAAAAGACATATTTGACCAACTGACTGTCATTACTTCTTTTTTGTATTGCATGGAATATTTTTGGTGCCATGCAGCAACATAATAAATCCATCATAACTTAATTTGTTGTATTCTTTGTTAACTTAAAGTTAATTTCTCGCTAGACTGTTTGCTTTTGGTTATTGGTGCAAATGTGTGGTGAGGGGGAACCAAAGTTGAAATAATTTGAATGGATTCACTTGGAAGCAAATTTGAAGGGGCCTTATCATGCAACGTCATACAGACATTTAAAAAAACAGAACAGAAAACAAACAAAAACTAAATAACAGAAAAGCACAACAAACAAGGACAGTCTGTTAAATGTAATTCATGGAGGGGAGGAGTGTGTGAGAGAGAAACTCCCTCTGGAGGGAAATTTGGGATTTTAGAATTTTCAAAACCAATAATACACACTACAGGAAAGTGAACACCCCAAAAAGCATAATAGGGCCTATTTAACTGATATTAAATGCTGCTGTTAGTGGGCCTTGATTCAGATTTCTTTGAACCTCAAAACAAAGATTCGGAACAGAAAAGACGCATTACTGTACTTGGTTTGGTTCACTTACTTGAGCACAAAAAGACAGTGCTTCTTCAGATTGATGATGTAATACTGTTACACAACACTGTATGTGTACGTGTATGTGTATGTATGTATGCTGATCACTTTGGTTTGTTTTATGATAAC